GACTTGAGGAGATGTGCCTTGCTAGGTTTCACGTGAAACTTTGTTGTCAAAGTGGCACATCTCAGTCAGAATAAGTTTTGTTAGACTAAATATAAACCATAAGAACATTTTTGTGAGACAAAAAAAGCTTACATATATATTGGTTACAGAGAATGTTTGATTTCTGGAGGTGGTGAAGTCGTTGAAGGAAGTTTCGGCCTCGACTTAATTTCTGAAGCTTTTCTCACACAGAATGTCGTCGAGATGCTCGAAGAAGTAGTAGTTGGTAGGCGAGACGCTTGGCAAGTGTGGTGGATCAGGCAGAGTTTCGTAGCCCAACTTACTCAACTTTCAGATCGTCGGTAGTGCAACGTGGTGCCTCGCGCTATCGTTGAGAAGGATTGGTATCTCTCAGTTGACCATTGTGTGGTACAGCCGTTGAAATTTCTGTTTAATCTCGCCAATTTGCTGGACGTTTATTCTCTAATCTATAATTTCTCCACTGTCGTCGTTCCACCAGAACTATGGAAGCTGTGATGCATCAAACGATCCGCAGATGTTTTCGGCGCAATTTCGAATTTGAAAAGTGGTGCGGAGCTGCACTTCGGTCGAACACTAAGCCGATCATCACTTTTTCTTGGAGCAGATCCAATTTCTGTCGACCATTATAATATTATCAAGATGCAGGTTGTTCTTGTTCCACATAAGCACCGACGACACCTCAAGACGACAATTTCTTTGATTGCCATTCAAATCGTGCGTTACCCATCTGTAGAGCTTCCTCGACTTTTCAGCTTTCGTAGTGCTTCGCAACAGTGGAGATTTTTTTCATCAAGTTCATCTACAAATTTTCGAACAGATGTGCGTGTACTTGCTTACAAGAAGCCTTCAACTCATCGTAGCCAATGGAAGGAGCTACTTCCCTCATCGTCAACGTCGAATATACCATGATGACGAAATTTCCCAAACCAACGTTGCACTGTGCGCTCCTTAACACTTCCTTAGAGCCGTAACTCGTCTTTTCGAGCTATTTGCGTTGTTTGCTTCTGAGTTTGAGCTTGTGGAAGTAGACTTGCTGGAATTGCTGTCTTGACATTTCATTTTCTAACGTGTAAAACTCGTGAAAAGTAAACTATATGTTACAAATCGATTGTATGGAGTCGAAATCGGTAACATGATCTTTGTAATAATGTCTAGTAGTACAACATTGGAAGAAAAACTATTGGTCAGGCACATATAAGGAAAATGAAATTACAAATACACCATTGGTTCCCTAGTAACGTAATTGCTACCAGCAATGACTGAGTAGCTTGCATCAAGACCGCTATGAATGAACATCCCATATTCGGCGCCTTAAAAAGTAAAGAATCACTAGGTAAGGACTCAAAAGTCTTCAACATGACCGACAAGCACCGAGACAGTCGACGGGGACCGCAGTGATGTCTTCCTTTCTTCTTTAGGGCTATCATTTTTCGGTGTTTATGATGATGGGATTCCACGTAACTGTTGTTTAATATAAGAAAACCATGCCGTCACTTTCAGCCAATCTATAAAGAAGTTTGTAGAATTTTGCGGCAATGTGATGAAATTAGGGCGCATGTGGCCCAGTGGTCAGGGGCGCACTGCAACACACACGTGGAGTCGACTCCACAGCCTATGGCACACCAAGCCTGCCTTCCCTCCGGAGCCGGCAAATTGGTACCAGACTTGTCTGGGAGGATAGCAGCATTGGCTTGATACATCGCTAGACCACCGCGAGTCATTGTAAGGGCCAGATAGTATTCAATCACCTCCAAACGATGCTTAGTGAAGTCGAATTCATGATGCATCCCTCAGAGATTGATCAACGCCGAGAGCTTTTTATCCTTTCTATGACGAAGTTATGTGCACTTCATGAGATGAGGTACACAAATGACGAGTCCAAATTGAAAAGGCCGCTAGGGCAAATTTTATCCCGTTTATAATTGTTTGATGGAGCTGTTCTCGACACCGACCACACTTCAGATTGGAATCCTACAAATGCGTATACTGCATGGAATCAAGTTAACCGCCGTAGTGAAATCACAATACCAAATCCCCTTATTCGCCATACATAAGGGCAGAAGCAACACGTTTGAATTAAGCCGCTTAAATAGCCCTTGTTATTCAAAAAAGCGAAATTCCACCACGAGATGTTCGCTGATTTGCCTTCCGTTATATGTACATGCGTAACTTATTACGCCGACTTATAAGTTACCTCCATACATGATCTGTCAATCATCTGTCCTCAACCTCCACGTCAAAAGAATACTATAAGCATTAATTTCTACTCACAGATCTACGTGCTAGTAGAAGTGAAAGAGGAATATCTTTTATAACAGAGTTATTCACGAAGAAACTTCTTCCATAAATTTGTTTTATGAAACTTCACTGTCAGAGTAAACAGGAGCCACGAACGTTAGAACAGAGTGAGCAGATTTGATATAAGAGAAAGTACAGAATTGGGAAAAGTGACACTTTCTCTAACCTAATAGTAATGTTATTTCAACTCTTATCGTACTAGAAACCAATAGCGAAATGAAAGCAGTGAAATCCAAATAGTAACGTACTTCACAACGTCGTCCATCATTTTATGTCTGAGTAGGACACAATAGTTCCTTTCGTAATTTTTTGGGGCACTCGATTGAATGGGATAAAATGGTTTTTTAGTTTTCTGGGAATTGTAGAAATACTTCTGATGTAACAGTAACGATGATTAGTCTCACATCCGCACAATTCCATTCAACGCGGCCAAATCAAGCGATAGTATTGAGGTTTTGCCTCGGAGCTGTTCGTTGTACATATACGGATCGTCAACACAAGCACTGAAATGAAAGGACTTAGATTCGTTATTGCTAGGATTTCTTGTTGTTTTTTTGTGGTAAAAATCTGTTAGTGTTTGAACTATTTAATGGCGAGAAGTCATTGACTATCAAGAAGAAAAATGTGTAAATGTATTAGCGAAATATTCTGACATTGACTTTCTACTCCAGAACATCATATTTTTAGCCTAACGAGCGATTTTATTCCTGTACAGGGTGATTGAAAAGGTAAATACCCATTTTAAAATGCTTTTCGTTTATTCATACATTTTAGAACCTTTCTCAAATTTTTTATGTATTGTGTTCCTTAATCTTTCTTGGATAGTTACTTGGATGGCCCGTCTTCACTGGTTGTGCAGGCCCCAGCATAATTTCCGTTTTTTCGGAGGTTTGTTGGTCTTGCCATTGTAGTTCCCTGGAACCGCAACGTCAGCCTGGTCAAAGTCTGCCCCAGGTCTTCACCATCACAGGTAGTCGCCAGCCTTTGTCAATCAGAAGGAGATTTGCCACCATGGGACTAGTTTCATTCGACGACGGTGGTGAATCCTGGTTATTTGCTTACTCTTAGCTAGACTTCCTGATGGAAACCCGGACTGCTTCTCATCTTGGGAGACCCTGCCAAGAGATGAATCTCCCGCTGTACATCGCAGCCCGACACCTAGGAAGACCTCCCAGCCACGATGAGACAAACCACTAAACCGTTGGGAGGGTTCCGTAATCTATGGGAACTAAATCCATTTCGTTCCTTTTCTTTGAGATCGCCCACTTTGTTTGAAATTTTAAAAATCTACAAACATAGCTGTAAGTCTTACAATACAAGAATGTGCACAGACATTGACACCTCCGGTGTTCGGAGATCCGTTGTTCACTTACAAAGACGTTAGAGGACCGTTAGAGGAAAGAAATGGTTAAATTTGACGCAGAGGCGATCAAGAATTTTCATGAAAACTCATGGTTACCTGTCTTATAACTGATACGCAAAAAAGAGGTCGCATTTGCATTTCCAGTGAACCGGCGATAGTGTAAGGTGTTCAAGAAACGTTCACGCGTTGCCAATGAAAGTCAATTCGACACTCAGCAACGGAAAGCGAGCTCTCCGTTGACTGTATAATTTGTGATCAATAGGCTTAAATGGCATGGTTTGAATTATAACACTTCTAAAATAGAGAATTACTTTTCAATCACCCCGTGTATGACTACCGTTGCAGTTCTAGGACTGCTCAGTCCCCAGGCATCGTCCTTTCATATGTTCACTATTTCGGAAAATGAAAAATATCCTAATAGCAAGAGGGTAATAGCTTTAAAGGATTATTAAATACCACTCGACTGTTTAATACATAACGCTTGAGATGCATCTTGCAGAATTCATTAGATTTGAAAATAGTGGTCAATTTCAACTTTAAAACGACATATCTCAGCTCACAGTAGATTTTCTTATATAGAGTGAAAATCATGGCAATCTATAGATCATAATAATGCTGAGATATTTGCAAAAGTTAGACCCCAAACTAGATTAGTATCCGTGATTATTCTTTCCAGGATCTCATATGTTGCACACTGGATCCTGAGGCTCTCGCTTTACTTTTCTGTCAGAAAGTTTTGACCAACAAGATACCTTGCCGTGAAGAAATAATAGACAGTAAATAAAAACGTTAACCATAATCTACAGACGATTTTCAATTGATCAAAATCTTTCCAATCACCCAAAGTGAAAGGGTAGTTTTTTGTAGTCCGTAACATATATTTTCTCCATAGTATTATTTCAAGGGTCATATTCTGAACAAGAAGACAAATGAATTAGAGAGACCTCGTCCACTGTGCCCATCGCTGTTTCATTCTAAGTCTAAAAACTCAGTTCACCACCATTTCTTTGAAAATTTTTATTCTGAACGTATTTAAACATAAAGGAGAACAGTATAGACCGCACTGCACTGAGGTTGACACTAAGGTTGCCACTCCTCACCCATTACCTGCCGTCCCATTGATAGTAGAGTGACTCCAGCGGGCGCCAGCAAATCTTCCCTTTTTACCTGTCGCACGCAAGAGTAGCCCAGAGGGTTTTGCTCACTCTAGAGAAACGTTGAGCACCATATCTTGCTTCTAGGTTTTTCGCGAAAAGAAGTCCGGCCATTACGTGAGCGGTCCTCCTGCTGTTGCTTGACATCCCGAGGAATCCAGCCACTAACGGTCATTGGCAATCAGTTGCCGTTCATACCCACTACGTGTCCAGTCCACCTTGTCTGCAACAGGGTTGGCGTATAGAACGGCATCTTTGAATTGTGATCGTCGACGCTGTCCGGGGCTTCGGATCCGTTCCTGTACTTGTGTGACACGGGTACTCCCAACATCGTCCTTTCGGGTGCGCATTCTATAACGCTGATGCTTACAATCTTTCATTCTGCTTACGAACCGACAAACCTTCTGACTCACACGTTAAGGCAGCGAGAACCGTGGACTCGAAGAAATAGGAGGCGGAACATGTGGAGGTATTCGTACCGTTGAGCGCAAATAAGCATACGAAACCAATCCGTTCCTCATGAACATTATTTATGTGAGATTTAGTCGAAGACCAATCCTTCCACAGTTATCAAAATCGGCTTGCATTTGTTTGCTCTGGCTAATTATTGATGTTATAAGGACTATGCCATAAGAAAAAGGAAGATGGTATAGTTACCTGCCATCGACTTCCACTACCATCTTGTCGCATTCCAATATCCCCATGGTTGTCTCGAGGATGGCGGTAAATAACTTCTGGGAGGTAGTATCGCCTTGGCTGCCGCTCTTTTGCCATCGATGTTGATATCGTCGTAGAGTGGTGGTATTTTGTTAACGAAATTTTCATATGGCTTACAAACAATCTTCATATCCTGAGTAGGGACTTCCTGACTATCACGCGCTTCCATGACTGCTTCAATCTCAGTTGACTCAAAGGTCTTCTTTAAATCGATAAAAGTGAGACAGAGCTGTCCTTTGCACTCTCGCGATACTTCAATGAGACTTGTTATTGTGTGGATATGGTCCATCGTACTAAAGCGTTTTCGAAACCCTGCTTGCCCACATGGCTATCCTTTGTCCAGTGTTCTGTCAATCCTATTTAGGATGACTCGAGTGAGAAGTTTGTACACGACAGACACCAAGCAGATTGGGCGATAGTTGCCGATATTGTCATAAGTCACACTTCTTGAAGAATAACATGGCCTTGATGATCTTCCACTGAGTAAGACCTTGAATTCTGGGGGTAACTCGTGATCAGCTGAGCCAGTGTGTTGATGAGGACTGGAGGAAGGTTTTTTAGTTGTTCAAGGTCTATCCTGTCCGAAGAAGCTGTTGTTCGATTCTTCGCGGCCGAAATTGCATGTCAGATTTCGGTAGAGCGAACCGATGGGACGGAGAGGACGGAACCCTCATTTATTTCGAAAGTTTCTAGAGGCAGACGTCTCTTGGTGACTTTCGAAAGCTCTGCTTTCCTAGGAGTAGAGTGAAAATGTTGAATGAGACGATCGTATTCTTCGTCGATGTTGTCGACAACGGTATCTTTCCAACAACCGACTAATGAGTTGAATAAGTCCTAATTTATAGTGGTTTTGGGACTTCGTTTCTTGAATTTAGCGGCTTTTTCTCCTTTCCGCAAGAAATGAAAACTTGGGCGAAGTGGGTGATTATCTGACCTTGCGTAGAATTCTGGGACAACAACGACATCGGCTAGGAAAAACTTTCAATTCATTATGAAGCGGTAAATTTCGTTGTCGTACTTCCCAAAAGGAGAATTCCAGGTCCAGCGTTGAGAATGGAGCCTCTGGAATTGCGAGTTACTATGAATGGTGCTGGTCGTCATGACAAACTCAGACAGCCGCTCACCGTGCTTGTTCCATTCTAGTTCGTGGTTCTCAATGTGAGATCCTTCAGACGTTCTTGTGGGTTCAATCTTAGCGTTACAACTTCCAATGATGACCATAAAGAATGTACGATCTTCTCTGTAGAACATTCTCTAAGCCCATATACAGCGCTTGAACTTCGTCTTCGTCATGGCTTGGTGTCGGTGCACAAGCGACGAAGATTGTCAAAGCCGGTATTGATCCACACTTTTTTGACCGTAAACGTCTGACTCGGGTTGTTAGTTGTTCGAATAAATCGATATTTATGGACAAACTCGTGTTAACGAGAACGCCGACGCCGCCGACTCCTCTACTGTCGCATGTTCCGAAAAACAGTTTTTCTCCGGTGTCATAGACGGCGTTGAAAGGCTAGCGTCTTCTCGTCTCGGCCAGGCCGATGACGTCGTACCTTATTCTTCTTGCTTGCATGAGCAAGGCTTCTATCGAGGACTCAAATGCCAATGTACGTGCATTATAAGTACAGACCGTCACCACAGTTCTTTGAAATCCAAGCAGCTTCCATTGGCGGCGTGATTTTAGCAGCCTCGCCGTACTCGTCCTACCCAACGCTGTGAAATTGGGGGCTCTTTCGGGGTCAGGGGAATGATGTCCATTTTTTTTACTGTGTTTAGCATTTTTGGTACCCACGTATACCTTGCTGGGCTCTGAACATGGGGCTGAGTATACTCACGGGTAGCTTGCCAGGTTCTCCCAGAGTGGGCATGGAGCTTATTTATTGGAGACGACTGCTAACCGCGTTACGTATACTTCCCAGTCACTTTATTGCAGATTTTTGGCCGAATTGAAGCGCAATAGAATCCGCATAAACGAGAACACACCTACGCACCCATGCATGAATATGTCCTCGCAGACATGGAAGATATGTGCCAAAACGGAGCAGCAGAAACAGAAGGAGGAAGTTTATCCCCTGGATCCATCTACGACTCAGAAAGCATAATGTTTCTTAGAAGTTTTATATATATATAAAGCTTTAATATATATATATATATATTAAAGTTAATAATAATGCTGAGATATTTGCGAAACTCCGGACCGCGGATGTCTAAGGTGGGGAATGTACGCGCTACTCCCCGGAAAGGATAATGGAGCGTTCGTTCC